GCCCCGCGCGCCGCCTCCACGGGCTCGGGAGGTCCCGGCCCGCCGCAGTGGGCGGTCCCGCTCCCACCCGGGTTCTGCCTCCGCCGGCCTGCCACAGCTGCCTGCCTGCCCGGGCACGCAGCGTCCGCCGAGTACCCATGGGGAGACTGAGGCCAGGAGAGGAAGGGACTCCCCAAGGTCACTCAGACCGGTGGCGGTTGGGTCAGAACTGGAACCCAGCACAGTCCCAGGAACCACCTCCTCACACCTCCTTTCCCCAGGTTCTCGTACTCCAAGGCCTTTCCAAGAGCTCGGGTTACGGGGGACCTTGGGAGACACAGATGAATGACTGGTACCTTCTCCCAGCCCCCCCGCAGTCCCTCCTTGGGCTGAGGGCAGAGAGAAGAGGTGGGCCCACATTTGGCACTGTGGACCACCTCCCTGGCTCTTGCAAACTCTTTCTGCGCTGCATTCTCCCAGCTTTTCTGCAGCCTCTCCAACAATTCCTGTTTGGGTTCCCCAAACCAAGAAGCCCCAAAATGCTGGGTTCCCATGGGACCCTGCACTCAGCCCCCTTCTGACTCCCGGGGCCATCTCACTCACTCCCTTGGCTCCAGTCCCACCATCTCTCTATCCATCATAACCAAATGCATGTCTCTATCCAAGAACTATTTCTGTGCTGAAATATCTACTGAACACCTGCAAGGTCCATGCTCTGTGCTAGACACTGGAAACATAGCCTCAAATAAAGTACAAGTCCTGCCTCATGGAGAGCACAGTCTGGTGGACTATGAATACAGTGCAGTGCCTGTAAGAGCACGATCCACAGGTGCAAGGGCACCAGGACAGGCGCCTGCATTGGCTGAGTGAAGGCCTCCTGGAAGGGACACCCTCTAAACAGAAACCTAAAGGCCAACAGGGTTGGCCAATGAAAGGCAGCAGCGTGGAAAAAGACTTCCAGGCAGAGGCTGGAGGAACAAAGACCCCAAGATGAGAGAGATCTCACTTTGGGAGTTGGAGGTGGAGAGGGAGGGGGTTCTGGGGGAGCCTGAGTTGAGAGTTGTAGAGGGAAAGTCAGCGGGAGCCAATTTCTCATCAAGGAGTTTGCAGTCTGTTCTCAAAGCCATAGCAGGTTCATGGGAAGAGTTTTGAGTAGGGAAGGGACACCATCAGATTGGCATGTTAGATCATTTTGGGGATCAAATGGAGCACACACAATGTGTCTCTGTATTAACAAGCATGTGCCTCATCCAAGGAAAAAAATAGCATTGCTGCACTTTGGAGCCAACCTGGCCTGCATGAAGACAGGTGCTCCAGCAGCGACCTCCTCTGTGTCCTTCATTCCCAAATCCAGGCCTCTATCCAGAAACTCTCTCCTGAGTGGCTCCCTCTTTGAAAGGCCTCCTAGGTACATGCACCCAAAGTTCCCTTTTCTCTCAGTGCCCCAACCCTCTGCCACCCAGATCCGTGTGCTGAGTGAGCCTTTTGCTCCTTGGGGTCTGCTTCCCTCACCTGTTTCCCCTCTAGCTACGGTGTACAAACCAGGGTGAGAACCCTTAGGGGAAATGGACAAAAATGGAAGATTCTTAACCACGATGGAAATAAAGTAAGCTTTTAAAAAATTAAGTTTTGTATCTCTCTGCGTTGTTTCTTACAACTCTGTGTGAATCTACAATTTTCTCAAAGTTTAATTTTTAAAATTGTGTTGTAGTTAGATTAATAACCAAATTACTCTCTCCAATGCAGGTTAAACACCAAAGAGGGCAACTTGTCAGAAAGGAAGAGAAAAATTCAACTCTCTGGTCCAGCAAGTAAAAATTTTGCCTGTGGTATGTTGTCCTGTCCTTCTCAAGTTCCTACCTGCCATGCCAGAAGTGTCTGCCTCTTCAAGTGCTTTATGTATTTATGTATAAACAGTTTCGCCTTTGGCTCCTGGAACCCACTCTCCTCGGGTTCCCATTCTGATTGCTCTTCCCCCTTAGCCTCCTCTACTGTTTCTTCCTCATCTGCCAGCCTAGCAGATACCAAGGTTCCTCATGTTCCTTACCCCTTGGTCTCTTTGCTCCTTTCACTCTCACTGAGAAATTCTGTTGGCTGCCTGACGTCAGCCAAGACCTTCTGTGCTCCAAACCCAGAGACACAAATGCCTGCTGGATATTGCCTGAATGCCTCTCAGGTGCCCCAGTCTTAACAGAACCCAAACCAAACTCACATCTTTATCCCAAATTACCCCTTCAGCATTGCTTCCCTATCTCAATTGATAGCACCACCTTCCTCCAGGCACTTAAACTAGAAACCAAAAGAATATTCTAGACTCTTCTATCTTCCTTGCCCCCATACCCTATCAGTCACTAGGTCCAATCAACTCTGTCTCAACATCTTTTATACATGTTCATCCTGCTGCCCTTGCCTTAGTTGGAGCCTCACCATTTCTTGCCAAGGTTGTTGTAACTGCCTCCAGTATTTCCTATTTTCAATTTGTCCTCCACATGCTGCCAGTGATCTTTTCAAACCACAAATGTGACAAGTTGGTCTCCTGATGAAGATACCTCCATGGTTCCTTCCTGACCTTGCAATAAGGTTTTAACTTCTTAGCATGATGTGAAGCCCTCAGCAATCTGACCTCTTACATCTGCAACCCCATGTCTACCTCACCCCATACCTGCACACCAAACACCTTATTATCCTAGGGTACATCATGTAATAAAATGCATAGAACATAGTGTTAAAAATTGTAGTCTTGAGCCAAATTGCCTGGGTTCAATTCTCAGTGTTGCCTATGTAATTTTTCATCTGTGTAATTTGGGGAAAGTTCCATAACCTCTCAGTTCTAGGTTTCTTCCTCTGCAAAGGGAAAATAATAAGAATACCTACAACCTAGGGATGCTCTAAAAATTAAGAGTTTCTAGAGACGAATGAAACAGCATTCATTACCTGCTAACCAGCACTATTAGCAATGCTTATAATCATTATATGCAGTGAGAATTATTCTGGTCATTTTACAGAGAAGGAAACCAAAGCTCCGAGAAGTAAAGTAACTTTCCTAAGATTCCACAGCTTTAAAAAATTAGCAGCACTGGTATTCATACAAGATTCTAAATCCCATGCTGCTAAACACTTCGCATAAGCTATTACCTCCCTCTGGGAGGTTTCCTCATTTCCCTACCTTTACCCCAACCTGCTAGACAAACTCTTCTTCCTCCTTTAAACCCTGGTCAAAAATATCTTCTCCTCCACGAACTCTCCCAGTCCCTCTTTATGCCTCTGCGGTACTTGGTAAATACCTCAAATAAAGGACCCAGTACACCCATTACAATGGTTTGTTTACATGTCTGTCTTCTTGAGATCTCCTTGAGAAAGACAATATCTTAATTATTTTTGCTTTCCTAGAATTCCATAAATATTTGTTAAGTGAATGAATAAATCAATAGATAAAATATACACGATTCTCAGAAGAGTTTTACCCTGACAGCTGTCGTTTCAATGTAGATCACTTTTAGTCTCTGTTTTTGTCATTCTGAAGAGTCATTTTTTGGTGACAGGATAGCATC